GCCCTTCGCCTATTGGCGGGAGTGGGAAACCTGAAATGATTGCAAACCGAAACGGTCTGGCCCATAGCGTTCAAGGCTTCCATTACAAATCAGCCTTTTCTACTTTTATTCAATCGATTCCCAGACTTCTGATCATTTTTGGGGATGTTTTACTTCCTAAAGCCCTGAGCTTTCAGGCACTTTTCTAGCAGGATAAAAAAAATTACTTCAGATGCCACCTTCTGCTGCAAAGCGACAAGAAAGCTCTTGCTCCTTCTAAGGAGAACATTCCTTTAACCAAGTCACTCTTGTAAGGGGCACAGGGAGCCCACGCTTTTGCTTATTAAACGCATTTATAAATGGATTTATACAGAAAAAGTACAACTCCCTTGAAACACGGTTATAAGACACCGACAAAACTGCCTCCAGGGCCCCGAGTGCCAAGCAGCTGAAACCCGCTGCCTAAGCAAAGCTGGAATTACAGCCCTATGCTTCTTTTTTTAAAAATAAATGATAGAGGAGAACAGCCAGTGCCCCGAAAGGATCCCAGCCACAAGCTGTGGGCCTGGAGAAGAGCAGGCTGAGAGGGGATCTCATCACCACCTACAACTCTCTCAAGGGTGGGGGGCACGGGGATGCAGCCAGACTCTTCCCAGTGGTGCCCAGCGCCAGGCCAAGGGGCCATGGGCACAACCTGAAGCAGAAGAGGTTCCAGGTGAACGGGAGGAAGAACTTCTTGCCTGGGAGGGTGCCCGAGCCCTGGCCCAGGCTGCCCAGGGGGGCTGTGGAGTCTCCTTCTCTGGAGATCTTCACCCCCCGCCTGGATGAAGTCCTGTGTAACGTGCTCCAGGAGAGCCTGCTTGGGCAGGGGGGGTTGGACTGGGTGAGCTCCCGAGGTCCCTTCCAACCCTGCCTATGCTGGGATTCCGGGATTCCGTGAACATGCAGACATGTGTATTTCATTCAGTTCATTCCAGGCTTCCCTTTACAAGTGCTTTCCTCGAACACCCCAAGGTGGACAGCACCTACAGGCACGTCAGCGCTGCCACATGACCAGAAGGATGGATGCACACTGGAACTCAGCATCTTCAGCAAAAAAATCCCCCAGCAAAGTGTGTTCTGAATTCCCAATGTGGGAATTCCAGCTGATCAGGAAATCCTGGGCCTGGCTTACATGCTCTCCCACCTTCCCTATGGTTATAGGTACCATCACCCCGTACATTCACGAAGCCAAGAATATTACAGAACGCACTGGGGTGGGGAGGAGAGGAGGAGAAGAAAACAAACGCTGTTTGTCTGCAGCAGCATGAGGCTCCCAGCAAGACACGCGGACGAGCTCACTTTTCACTGCCTCATCTGCCCAGCGCCCTGGCTCATCCGAGCCGCGCGCTGGCCGACCGCCTTCAAAGTCAAATAAAACACGAACGCAGCAATACTGACATCTCTT